AGGTAGAATAACCTATATATCTCTCTATATATATATAGGGCAAGATTATTTGACACCTAATATGAGGATCGTTAGATCAAGACAGATCAATGGTGTCACATGTTTACAAATTAGAGTCATTAAATCAAGACATGGTCAACGATTCTCAGATGACGTGTCAAACTTTATTGTTTGACAATGGTGTCAAATGATCCTGTCCCTATATATATATATATATATATATATATATATATATATATATGGGAAAAATATTTCTCCAACAACTTGAGATAAGTTTATTTCCAGCTATCCCAAAACTACGTCGTTTTATTTATTTATTTTCTTATATTAATTAATTCACATTTGAATAGTTATGATTCTCTTTTTCTCTCTCTTGCTTTATCACAATTTATCCATCTTTGTACGATTATGATTTAGTAGCTGGAGATAAAATTATATCAAGCAGCTTGAGAAACTATAAGCCCTATATACCAAATTCTTTGTACAAGTCTATTACATCTGTCCTTTCAGAAAATTCCATTCCAACCTCAATTGAAATATCAATATTCTTTGTCGGTGTCAACATATGGACATTTGACATACTATTAATTAAGTCCTTCTACATGCACTCTTCCATTTCATGAGGCATGTCAAATTCAATCTCATCACTAAGGATGTGTTTGGTATATGGTATTTGTGAATATTACTTGAAAATGATCATTGGTAATCATAAAATGACATGTTTGGTATAAGGTAATCAAAAATTTTACCTGGATATCTTCGTTTACCAGTATTCTCATTTACAAAGAAAAATGTCATTTGCGATTACCAAAAAATATGTGGTATTTGACAAATCCCACTTCTATGGAAAATGAAACGAAAATCTAAGACAAAAATACCCTGGGTATATATTAATCGAAACTTCCCTATTTTCTTGTGCGCTCTTTTTGTTTGGCGGCAGTAAAGATTTACAGAGCTGGTGTGTTTACTTCGATTTGTTGGTCAGCAACAAACCGGTTTTGTTTTACCGGTTCTCGACGGTGAATTGTGTTACTTGCTTCCCTGAGTTCAATTTTTTTTCTCCCATTTTTTAAAATTTCCAGTATTGCATGTTTCGTCTTTATATATGAAAAAAGGAACGACTTCTTCCTAGTATTTTGTCTTTTTAGTCCTGAGGTTGTGATGTGAGCTTATGATATAAGTCATTTTAATTATTTTTTTGGGAAGGGATGCTTCGTCTAAAGCATTGACTGAGACATCGAGTTATACACCAGTGTTACAAAAATGGAACTCATTTTCTAGTTAGTGCTTAGATCTGTACAAATGGGTCATCTTTTTTATTTAATATTTTTTTAAATACTAAGGGGTTATTTTTGTAAAATAATCCATATTCCCAGAAATATTTCACAATCAATCAAACATGGAATCAATAATCTTTACCTAATATTTTCGGTAATATTTTGAGTAACCAAACAACTTTTTGATAACATTTCCGGAAAACTCAATTCCCGACCATATTTCCAGTAATCATGATTCTAGGATAAAAAAAATTTCTCCTGTATCAAACGCCCCCTAAAGTGAATGTAATCTGTTGGATCGTCATCAATATCTCCAAGTTGTGTAAAATTGGTCCCTATGTCATCCATTTGGCCTCCTATATTTCTGATATGTTTATGGTTCATGATATTCAGTAATACGTTTTCCTGTAAAGAAATTCAAGCAAATTTAAAAAAAAAATCCAAAGCAAAACCACAATCCAAACAAAAAAAGAGAGAAAAATTTGCACAAAAAAAGAACTCAACATGAAATTCCCAATACCAAATACAACAATACAAAACCCAGAAGCACTCACAACCGCATGATTTATTAATAAAAAATTGAAGAAAAAAATATGGTATGATAAGCAAACAAACAATTCAAAATGCAAACAATTCTATATACATTAAAAAAAAATAATACTGAGTAATCAAAACTCAATTGAAAAAAAATAACTTTGTTTGATATTGATGCTTTCTTCCCTTTTAGCATAATAGGATAGCTACATGATGGAAGTTTCGTTGGAAAAGGTTGATGAAAAGAAAGAAAACCAACCTTCAATCGTGTTGATGTTCATCATGGCAGGAATGTTCGGTTCATATACATCAGCGTCAAGCAAGCCAACCTTCAATTGGCAGTTAGTTGCAAGTGCAACAGCTCAGTTAAGTGCCAAAAAATAATTTGAAACAAGACTCCATCAACAAAAAAAATGGAAACTTGAAGAAAGAAAAATCAGACCTTCGAAGAGAAAGAATGACAATGAAGTAAAGGGTTTTATTTACTGGATACCAAAAAAAAAAAAGTTTTATTTACCAAAGGTTGTGGACTTGCCCACACCAGCGACAACTATAGTATCGTTCAATCATGCCATCGTCTTATAGGAATTAAGTAAGAAGAGAAAGGCAAAGGTATAAGCACCCTAGCACTCCATCGTCTTACCAAAGCGACGACTTTCTATGAACCCTAAGGAATAAGCACGTTTGATTTCTCTATGATCGTGTTCTGTTTTTCGTTCTTTTTTTTTTTCTGAATATATGTTTTTCTTTGTGGAGGAATTGATTTTCGCGTTATCGAAATTTTTTATCTTCGTCGCCAGGAAGAGAGAAAGAGGAGGAGAGAGAAAGGGTACGGCGGGAGGTGAGCAGAAAGAATGAGAAAAAAGGGTTTATTTTATTTCGCAAATGTCTACCGTCGGATTGGATTGTAATCTAAGGTATTAAAAGGGATAGGCAAAATAGGAGTAGGTAAAATAACCTATCCCATATATATATGGGGTTTATATTTCTGCAGCTGCTGTACGTGCAGTAATCAAATACTTGTCATATATATATATATATATATATATATATATATATATATATATATATATATATATATATACTTAAAAACATTAAATGCGAAAAATCATAACCATAGAAAGGATGAAAGCATTAAATGTGGAGAATCATAACCATACACCTGTCATTGATGTACGTAAAGCGGCTGCAGAAATGATTTTACCTATATATATATATATATTATATATATATGGGGTTTACATTTCTGCAGCTGCTGTACGTGCAGCAATCAAGTACTTGCCATATATATATATTTGAAATAGGGGTGTTCATCAACCGATCCAAACCGATTCAAACCGCGATGACCGAACCGAAAAATCGATAATCGAATAAATCGAAAACCGAAAAACCGAAAAAAATCGTAAATTTTAATTGGATTGGATCGGTTTTTGGATGGGTTGATGAAAACCGATCCAATCCAAACCGATCCAATATGTTAATTTTTCTTTATCTACTTGAGTCTTTCCCTAATCATAGCCTAAGAATTTCTAAACTCAAGACTCATTAACCTATCAACTAAACCCAAGAAAAAATCTAGTCACATCTATCAACAAAATTTTATCTTTGTAGAGCTTCATATCTCATTGCCCAAAAAAAAAAAAACTATATTATAGTTTACTAATGCTTTTGTATTTCTATTTTTTTTTACAGAGCTAATATATACAAAAGATGTTATTTGCACAATAATCATGAAATAAATTTTAGGATTTTCAAAAAACCGAAAACCGATCTAGTCCAAACTGAAAAAAATTGTATTGGATCAGATCGGATTTAAAAAAAATCCAAACCGAATGGATGATTATATGATCAAACCGAAGGGATTGGATCAGATGATTTTTTCTTCCAAAACCGATCCAATCCAGACCACGAACACCCTTAATTTGAAAGCATTAAATGTGGGGAATCATAACCATACACCTGTCGTTGCTGTACGTAAAGCGGCTGCAGAAATAATTTTACCTATATATATATTGGGAAGGTTATATTTACAAACTTTTTTTTTACAAACTCTTACAAACTACACTAAGTATGACCGGTCATACTTCAATATATATATATATATATATATATATATATATATATATATATATATGGGAAGGTTATATTTACAAACTTTTTTTTTACTAACTCTTACAAACTACACTAAGTATGACCGGTCATACTTCAATCAAGAGTGTATGACCGGTTATAGTTAGTGTAATTTGTAAAAAAAAATTGTAAACGGATCCTTCCCCTATATATATATATGTGTGTGTGACAATAGCTATATCAAGCCACAAAGATTTACCCTTCAATTTAATTATATAAATTAACTACTTTATTTTTATTAAATAGCTTATATAAATTAGTCATTTTAGTTTACCAAAAAAAAAAAGAAATTAGACATTTTACCTAGGCTTTTACATTATCTCTCCTACCTCACAAGACCTTTGTGCTCTTTAAATTCTGGCCAATCTTTTGTTTCTTCAAAGGGTTGCGCATCATAATATCCTTAAGTGTCAAAATCAGTCTTTTTTTTTTTCTCTTGGCTTTATTCAAAAGTATTAAAACATCCAAGTTTTAATACCAAAACCATGGGCAAGTTATTCCTGTGCCATGTTTGTGATAGTTTTCTTTCTCTCTTGAAATTATGCAAGTTAGAATTAGAATTGTATATTATATTTAAAATTGTTAGTGGCTTAAACTTGTACCAATAAATATGTTAATGTTATTAAACGAAAATAGATCAGGTTTCTTCAAAGTAATATATAGAAATAACCAAAAACTATGTGCCATATGCCATAAGTTAATAAATTATACTAACTCAAAAAGTTTGATCAGTATACTGAGATTTTGGGTCAAGTGCTTAAAATAAATTACTTGAAATCGATTGTCGTGATCAACATAAAATTTTTAGATACAAGAGATTGAATACTAACAATGTTGTACAAATCAATAATAAATTCCAAACAAAAGTTGAATTTTTACAACTGAAGCCATCAATAAAAGTTTCTACTTCTTCCAACCGCATATCCACTCACAAGGCATCAAAAGAAACGAAACAGGACAAATTTTTTGATTCAGACGTTTCTACTGAAAGACAAATGAAACAATAGAAGAAAACAAAAATGGTTACTTACATAAGTAATGGGATGAATGATGGTAACTAAAGTTGCAACATAAACTATACAATTTTCACTATGGAAGAAAGCAATATAAACTATACAATTTTCTCAACAACCGAAACTCCAATTCAAGAATGATAAGAGGTATGAAGTAATGATATTCTGCTGATGATAATTTGACTATGTGAGGATGAGATAGGAAAGTAGCTCATTTGGCAATTAGTAGGGAAATCTAAATCTTTATTCAAAATCCAAAGCTTCATCAATATTATCGAAGTTTATTATTAGCTCATATGGATCAATATACTCCTCATCCGATGATTGCACAGGAACTGGAGCATGAGGAGGAATAATCAAGTCTGAGGAAGGGGCAGAAGGTGAAAATGGCCTTTGCATATTTTGTGCCTCAGAATATTGATCGGGTTGAAACTCTGGAGTGTCAACCACATTGGTGGCAGCCACATGGATATCATTAAACTCCATTTGCAAGTAAGAATCATTAAACTCCGATGATTGCATTGGAAGTGAAAAACGGGAAGGAATAGATGAGTTTTCGTGTATTATACTCTCTAAGGTTGGAGAAGAAGAGGAAATGAGATTTTGCATATATTGATCAATATCAAAATATTGATTGGGTTGACACTGTGGAGAGGCAATTAAATTGGTGGACAAGTGTGGTTGTGTATGCAGAGCATCTTGATTGAATTCAAACTGTGGAGTATCAACCACATTTGTGGACAAGTGAGTTTGCATATACTGACCCTCAAAAAGTTGACTGGATTTACATTTTTTGGCAACATTTGTTGATATTGTAACTTCTTCACGATCTCGCTTTTCAGTCTCATGCTTAGTCTTGTAAATCTTACATAAAACCCAATCATCTAACTGCATCTGCATATAAAATGGACATACGTAGATAAGTTATTAACATACAATAAATTAAAGAATAATGAGATATAGATATTCATTAAAATCCAAGTCTCATGAATATTTTACCGTGCAGGGAGGAGTTGTACTTGAACTTGCAAGATTTTTCTCTTTTTCAACAGTGAACTCTTGCATAATCCAATTGGTTTTCACTGCCTCTTTCACTCCATCTGTAGGCTTCTTTTGATAAAATACCAAACTCCTTTTATTTCCAATCACTATGTCATTGCATATTATTGGAATCCCTTTTCCAGTAGCCTTCCAAAAACCGAACTGTCCAGTAGCTCGATCAGGGCGTTTTCCATTAGGATATTTCCTATTTCTTGGAGTAAAAAAGTATGTATGTTGCTCTCCTTCGTATTTATATGTATCTGTACAAAATGACAACATGAAAAATAAAATAAAATTAATCACAATAAAATCAATACAACCAACTATTATTAAGAATCTCATCCTAGGACCCAAAACAGGCAAAAGAAGAGGACAAAGGAGTAGCTTTACTATTACTACAGACTCGCCCTCTTTCTATGTTTCATAAATTAAAGAAGAAAAATGATGACTACGCAAATAAAAGTATATAACCATTTAGTTCTTGAGGAGAATGCATGTAAACATCAACATCATGAATCCTGCCAGGATATATTATATGACCATCGATTTTGGGCTTCAAATAATACTTGATCAATTCAACATCATCAGGACAAAATTTGTATCCACGTGGTATCATTTTGAGTACATTGTCTTGCACCTTAGAGCGATGAGGCTGCATGTTGAAGAGCAAAAGAAGATAGGCAGAAAAAAAAAATGAAGACTACTCTGATCGAAAATCACAAGTATATAGCAGCAATATATGTATAGACTGATAGAAGAGTCTTGCTTTGCAAGAAGGAAAATTAAGCAGGGTATAAGAAAAGGGACGAAGGCCAGTGATATAGGAGACGCGTTAATATAGTAGGATGTGAACTTATTACTTCAAAACTAAATTTATCATATATATCTAGATAATGGTAGTTACAGTAGATCATGATTTTTTTATTTTTATTTTTAATTTGAAAACAAAGATAATTCTATCTTTATTTTCAAATAGCAAGCCATCAGTTCGCAATATACATCCTAAGATTCATAAAATAAGGGTAATTCTATCTTCATGAACTTCTGTAAAGGTGATTTTTACCCACATATATATCTATCTATCTTATTTGAAAATTAAAAATTAAAAATATATCATTTATCATGATAGTTTCATAAATATTATTTTAGCTTCAATCCTCAAACAAACCCCCGTCTTCCCATTTTCAACTCCTACCAAGCCTATCCAAATTTATCATAAATAGCTAATAATATGGGAAATTTCAAAATTTGAGAAGGGCATCCTCTTATCACCATATCAGCAAAACCGATATTATTAATATCCCCAAGAATGAAAAAGAAGTTGAAAATCATATAAATTCTCAAATTCAATTATCAACTCCAATCCACAAAAGGGCACAAAACAAAACCAATAAACAACGATGATATAAGACTATAAAAACATTAAAAAAAAGGATCAATTTTAGACAAGAGTAACCCAAAAAACTCCTTTGAATGCAAAAAAATAAAAACATAAACTTCACATACCAAAAAGGATCCATGGACCATCCAAAACAAAACCCAGAATCCAGAATCACAAAAAACGAAAAGGGTAAAAATCAAAAAGGAAAAATAAGAGAGGTGTTGTTACAGTTGTGTACCTGCTATGTGAAACATATATAGTATATCTGAGTCTTGATAACCATTAGCAGAGGCTGCTTATTGGGATAAAAACTATCGCATGCATTGAGCTCTTCTTCGGAGGCAGAGGCTGCATCAAAGTCAGAGAAGCTGAAGAGACTCCACACGACGTAGTATGGGCCAAGGACAGTGAAGAAGGTGGGTGGAGACTCTGGAGAGAGACCAGTGCAGGCTACTATGGCTTCCTTCAGTGTTTCCCACATTTGCAGAACCATCTTTGTCTTGTCACAGTGTATCAGAGTTAGAGAGAGAAGCAAGAGAGATAGTCAGCACTCAAAATTAAAAAGCTGAGATTTTTATCACACTCTATCATCCACTCTCTTTCACTATCACCCACTCATGTAAAATGTCGATATTTCAAAAATCTTCATATATGTTGGACACTTTTCGATATTCCTCCATATTTCGACAATCTGACACATATTTTAGAGATTCAAAAAAGAATTTAAATGTTGCATTGTATTGTATTTTTAGTATCAACTATTAAATTTGTTGGATTACGATTATTATTTTATTGAGTTTAATATAAATATTTATGATATCTTATGTTTTTTTATAAAATTGATTGATATTATAAGTGTAGATTCACATTTTTGTTAAATTATTGAATATTAAATATAATATACACTATATAAATTAAAAATATTATTTAATATTAAAACGTGTCCTAACGTGTCACAATTTAACATTTTTTAAAATTAACGTATCAGAATGTCGTGTCATGTCCTGTGTCGATGCCGGTGCAACATAGACCCGCTCTTTACACTTCTCCTTTGAGTTTTTTTATTTTGAATAATAATGTAATTTTTTTTAATATAGATGAATCAATATTGGAGGATTTATTAATTGTGGTATAGAACAATAGTCAAAGTTTGATTAGACTTTGTATTGCAATTTTTTTTTTTTTTTGATAACAATTGCAATTTTTTTTTAAGTGTGTAACATCTGATAATTTTTAAAATTTATCTATCCATCAATTACCTAGAATTTTAAAAAGGAATATAGTATTTATAACTCAAGCCTAAAATCAATATAGTTATCTGCCCAAAAAAAAAAAATATCAATATAGTTCATAATTCTCGTATGGGGTTATTCGTCTGTTCAATTCAAGTCAAGTTTATGACTTTTGAAGCATAATATATTCCGGTTCAAAAAGAATTAAATATGTAAGTTAACTACAACTCAGAAAAAAAAAATCTCAATAAGATTGAATGAAGTTGAATTTTAACAAGATTAAATATGTAATCCTGAATGAAATTTTATTACTTTAAAGATAAACATGTATCTAATTGCAACAAAACAATATCTAAAATATAAGTCATATGCGGCTCAAAGAGTGAACCTATGGGGATACCAAAGATCAGATTTGTCTTAAAAAGGTGATCATGATCATTGATCGGTTACAATATATATATATATATATATATATCTAAAATCATTTCTGGAACCGCTTTACGTAGAGCAACGATATATGTATTGTTGTTAAAATCTCAATTTATCACTACGATTTTATATTTTTACAATATTTTTTTTCATCAAAACGATTTTACTAATATTCCAAACGCTTTTATGATTTTTTATAATTTTTTTTATATTATCGTTTTACGTTTTACGATTTTTTAATCTCTTTCTGATTTTACTTAAGATCTCGATTTTAACAACATTGAATATATGTATGGTTATGATTCTCCATATTTAATGATTTCATCTTTTGTATAGTTATGATTCCTTGCATCTAATGCTTTCAAGTATATATATATGGCAAGTATTTGATTGCTGCACGTTTTAGGTAAATAAGTTTTTAATTCAAATATATGTGTTAGGAGTGTGTGTAGTGTAGGGTGTTGTGTTCAATTCCTTGTAATCTCAAAAAAAAAAAAATATCATGCCTATCTTTTTTTTATGTCAACTCCACCTATTTATCACCAACACTATTTGATTAGAATATCAATAAGAGAAAGAATACATGAAAGTTAATTGAGATTCTAATTTAACGGCATTGAAAATAAGTAGATAATATAAACATAAAAAAAAAAGAGATAGGTAATACAAGTAGAGGTGGTAAAGTGGGCGGCCCGCCCCGTCCCGCCCCCACCCCGCCATCAACCAGCCAAAAAATGAGTCAGCCCGCCCCGCCCCGCTTTTGAAAGTGGGCTGAAAAACTTAGCCCGCCTCGTCCCGTTTGGCAGGTTGGCCCGCCAGCCCGAGCCTATTTTACACTGACCCGCCTCGGCCCGCCATCAACTTGTCAAAAATGAGTCCGTCCCGCCCCGCCCCGCTTTTGAGATGAGTTAAAAAACTCAGCCCGCCCCGTCCCGTTTGACGGGTTGGCCCGTCGAGCCGAGCTCGTTTTGTCGGCTCTAAATACAAGAATCAAATTTAGTTCAATACCTGCGTCAAATTCCTTTAACAAACATATACGTACACTAGAATCTGTGGTCAAGAAAAACCTGATAATGCAAATGCAAATTTTGTCAGATCTAGATTCTCTCACATTAGAAAAAAAATTGACATGGTCACGTGAATAATATAAAAGTGGATCAATAGTAATTAAAAAGAGAAAAAAATATATTAAAAAAGATAATTATAAAATCATAAATATTGATTCATCTTTATATGATTTGTAATATGTCACTTTTTTTTTCACACATCTCCAATTTTGTCTGTTTCTCTTTTGTTTTTCATATTTTCCCTATTGAATCGAAATGGACCTCTAGTTTCTCTTAAGGCCCAATTCAAAGCTAAGCTAACCTCTAGTTTTTCATATTTTCTCTTTCTCTAGTCTCAGTTTTCTGTTTCATCTTCGTCCTTCAAAATGCTGGCAGTCTGGCACGCTTCGCCGAGAATCGCATCAACGAGATTTTCTGTCATGTTTTCTTTAGATTTCCTTCACTTACTTATCTGATTTTTGATTAATTTTTTAAAATATTTTTTGGTTCGATTTTCGCTTCAATTTCTCAGTGTTCTGTTTCGTCGCTCTGGAATTGTTAAAATTCGATTCGAACTTGGAATATGATAATTTAACAATATATATAGTTCATCGGCAATGTTAAAATACAAAATGTAGCAGTAGACACCTCTGAAGATGATTAGTCTAATTATCTTGCTTCTAATGTTAAAATACAAAATGTAGCAGTAGGCACCTCTGAACTTGGAATGTGATATCAGTGTTTTTGTCTTTATCAACTTTGGTCTCTCTTTCTCTCTTATAGATATTGACGCTTAATCACTATAAACATACTGTTTTAACAATTTTAAGTTATCTGTCATGTAATATATTCTACAATATATATTACTTTATGAAAAATACATTTGTCACGCTACATGAATGATAAATAAATAGTTGTTATGTTCAGAAAAAGATAAAATAAATTCATTAAATAATGTGTTCTCTCAATTTTTTAATATTATATAATTTGTTTTTTTCTTCAATTAACAACTACTCACATGTAATGTAATATGACAAATGCATTTCCCGCTTAACCAAATAACTATTATATATATTCCATTATATTCAATCTGGCTTTGGACCTATAAAATTTGGAGTACATGAAAAGTTGAAAACTCTTCAAGGATATGTACTTATTGCTGTGTTGCCCCGCTGTTACTCTTTTGCCTGACTAGCTTTAGGCTGCGTTTGTATGGACTTTTTAATAAAGTTTTTTTTATCACTTCTTTATTTTAAAAGTACTTTTTATAAAAGTTACAGCTATTTAAATTTTTAAAAAAATATTTGATTTTTGAAAAAAATATTTGGCTTTTGACTTCTGCTTTTTTTAAAAGTTAAAATTTTTAACTTTTGAAAAACGTAAGTTTTTAGCTTTTTTATGACTTCTGTTTTTTTTAAAAACAGACATCCAAACAGACTTTTTTTGAAAAGGATTTTTTTTCTTAAAAAAAGCAGCTTTTGAATAAAAAAAGCCCATCCAAACAGGCTCTTATTCGTTTTGCCCCACTAGGCTACTTGCGTACGATTGCTAACTGAAGCGAGCTGGAGGTTGAAATTACAAGTTTCTGGGGTTTGCTTGCTACACTTGCTCCCTGAAGCGAACAAGCTAGCGAGCTGTAACATAAAATAATACTTCTCCGGTCTTTGCTTGGCTTGAATTCCGTCTTCCTTTAGCTTCCTTGATTCATTAATGCTCTGATTTAATCATTTAAACCTGAAACTGATACATTTTTAACTCAGAAATAATACTTTTATTTCTAACACACTCCAAATGTACCCTTTGCATCCTCTCATAAGTATATATTGTTTCGCTACAATAGATTAGATAAAATGAAACTGAAAATTATTTTACACCATATTAGATTTTAGAAAACTAGCATGAATGTAGAGAAAGGAATATACTGATTAATCAGGTGCCATTAGCGTTTTCATTTTGATGCCATATATGAAGTCGATTCACCTTAACCTTCAATTAAGGTATTCATCCATTGCATGATGAAGCTATTATGCCACCAATTACATGGCCAACAGTTTCTTCTATTTTAATTTTTGACCATTTGCAAATTTAACGACAGGAAAAGGAGAAGAGGTCGGTCACTGAGAAATGTAGTTGATCAATGTTCAGAAAGAAAAAGATTATTTTGTATACATTAAGCCAACCTCTCTAATATTGTCTGAGATGTAGGACAAAGTGTTTCTCATAGTTTTATTTTAAACTAAAGGTTTAGAATATAAGCCATTCAACAAAAAGAAGAATAGAAACTATAGCAAAAAGAGAGAATCCAAATTGCTGCTAGAAGTACTTGTTAAGGGAACGAATAAATTATGGATAACTAGTGAAAAATCTAATATACTACGGACGTATGTACTGTTAGAAATCGACTTGACTTTGCCACCAACCCACCGCCAATTGAAAAGTTTCTTCTGCCATCTACTAGAAGAGCCTACTATCTATAAGGCCTTCTACTGCCATTCTAGATGAGTTGCCAATAGCCAAACAATCTTTGGTTGCCGACAAACAATTTAATAATAAAAAAGGAAAGAGAAGACAAGTCGGTAGATAACACTAGTCGGTAGAAGCAAGCCTTTATATATAGATGTATGTTTAAGAGGTATTAGTTGTATTAGTGAAAAATCAGAAAGAAAGAAAAGAGAAGGAAGGTAGAAAAAGAGTGCTGCAGCACTAAGAAAAAAAAACAGAGTGACCATGTGTTGTATTTTTTCTTTAAGCCAAAATTCAATACAAAGAGATTTCTTCATCTATTATTCTTTATTTTTCTCTAAATTCCAACAAGTGGTATCAGAACCACGGTCGATCAAAGATGGCGGAGATGATGCAATCATAGATTCCAAAGTTGTCAAAGAGTAATTATGAGAATTGGAGCATTCAGATGAAGACGTTGCTAGGTTCCCAAGATATATGGGACCTTGTTGAGGATGGATACATGGAACCCGCCAACGCAACTGCAGAAGCAGTTATATTAGATGCTCAGAGAAAGATGCTCAAGGATTCACGTAAGAAGGACAAAAAGGCTCTTTTTCTTAATTTTTCAAGGTGTTGATGAATCAACCTTTGAGAAAATATCAGATGCAAAATCATCTAAGGAAGCACGGGAGATTTTACAAAAGTCTTGACAGGGAGTTGACAAAGCTAAAAAGGTACTACTCCAATCGCTTAGAGCTGAGTTTGAAAACTTAAAAATGCAGAATGCAGAGCCAGTTATAGATTATTCCTCACGAGTGAAAAAGGTGGCCAAAGAGATGAAAAGAAATGGAGAGACTTTAGATGACGTCAGAGTAATGGAGAAAATTCTACGGTCACTAACAAGAAAGTTCGATTATATTGTCACTGCTATTGAAGAAGCCAAAGACTTGTCAGTTATATCTATTGATGAGCTTGTGGGTTCTCTTCAAGCTCACGAGCAAAGAATGAGTCTTAATGAAGGTTCTAGCAAATTGGAGCAAGCTTTGCAAAGCAAGTTATCTCTTGATGTAAATTAAGCTAGTAGCAGTAGCTATGGATGTGGTAGAGGAAATCATGGTGGATATAGAGGAGGTTTCAACACCTGAGGTGGATTCAACACTCGAGTTGGTCGTGGCGTACGCGGTGGATATAGCTAAACAAATAAAAAATTTCAGACTGATGTAGTAGCATATAGACGTGATCAAGGAGCATATAATCGTGGTCGAGGTCGTGGTTTCGTGACCCGAGGAGGAGGAGGAAGATTTCAACAAAGAGATGATAAATCTCACTTGTAGTGTTATAATTGCAACAAATATGGTCATCTCAGCTATGAGTGTAGAGATGCTGCTAAAGTTGCGGAGAGAAGTCATTATACAATAACTGAAGAGAAAGATGATGAACCAACCATGTTGTTCACTTACAAAGGCGAGGAAGATAGTGGGAAAGATGTTTGGTACCTTGATACTGGAGCTAGTAATCACATGTGTGGCAAAAAGGAGTTATTCACAGAGCTGAATGAGGAAGTCCAAAGAGAAGTTACGTTTGGTGATCTATCAAAGATTCCAGTTAAAGGCAAAGGTAAGATTATGATATTCACAAACAATGGAGATAGAAAATACATTTCAGATGTTTATTATATACCATCTTTGAAAAGTAATCTCCTCAGTCTTGGTCAGCTTTTAGAAAAAGGATATGATATTCATTTGAAGAATAATTCTCTCATTATGAGAAATCAGAAAGGAGAATTGATTGCAAAAGTTGATATGACAAGAAACCATCTATTCAAGCTAAACATCCAGACAAATGCAATAAAGTGCATGAAGACCATCATAGAAGATAGTTCGTGGTTATGGCATCTCAGATTTGGTCATCTTGGATTCACTGGCCTGAAGCTGCTATCAAAAGCAAAGATGGTAAATGGATTACCATTGATAAATCATCCTGATCAGTTATGTGAAGGATGTATGAGACAAAAGCAACATAGACAAAGCTTTGAAGTTGGCAAATCATGGAGAGCAAAAAGACCATCATTGCAGCTAGTTCACTCAGATATAGCTGGTCCATTTGATATTCCATCTCTTGGAGGAAACAAGTATTATATTACTTTTATTGATGATTTCAGTAGAAAAGCTTGGGTATATATTATTAAATAAAAAGTAGAAGCTCTTGACAAATTCAAAGAATTCAAAGCAATGGCAGAAAAGCAAAGTGGTCAGTATCTGAAGACACTCAGAACAGATAGGGGGTGAATACACTTCCAAATTACTTGAAGAATTTTGCAGGCAACATGGAATAATTCATCAGTTTACGGAAGCCTACTCACCACAACAGAATGGTATAGCAGAAAGAAAGAATCGTACAATTCTTGATATGGCAAGGAGCATGCTCAAAGAAAAGCATCTGCCAAGAACACTCTTGGCCGAAGCTGTTCAATGTGCTGCCTATTTACTAAATCGATGTCCAACTAAGAGTGTGAAGTTCAAAACTCTAAATGAAGCATGGAGCGACTGTAGACCAGAGGTAAGTCATCTAAGAATCTTTGGTTGTGTAGCATATGCCCATATTCCAGATCAGAAGAGAAAGAAGTTAGATGATAAAGGAGAAAAATGTATCTTTACTGGCTACGAGCATAGGAGTAAAGCTTATAGATTATACAATCCCTTGACAAAAAGGGTAATCATCTCAAGAGATGTGGAGTTTAACGAAACAGATTACTGGAAATGGAATGATGAAGAAAAAAGAGTAGAAGGCTTATTCTTTAAAGATGATGATAACTCAACAGAGAAAACAATTGAAGCAGGCAATGATCAGACACCTCCACCAAGTCCTAACCCAACAACTCCTGCATCTACACCCTCAACCTCAAGAAGCAATAGCAGTAGCAGTAGCAACAATTCAGGGGGAGCAGCAGCAAAGATGAGAAGCTTAAGTGATATCTATGATGCTACAGATCCGGTACAAACTATCCTTGATTATTCATTATTTTGTTTAATAGCAGAATGTGATCCAGTGACATATGAGGAAGCTATAGAAGATGAAAAGTGGAAGAAAGCCACGAATGATGAAATTGCTGCAATTAAAAGGAATGACACGTGGGAGCTCATAACTATGCCTAAGAAACATAAGCCCATCGGAGTAAATTGGGTATGCAAGACAAAGACTAATCAAGAAGGAAAAATGGAGAAATACAAGGCAAGATTGGTAGCTAAAGGCTACAAGCAGAAATATGGAATAGATTATGATGACGTGTTTGCACCAGTTGCAAGGATTGACACTATCAGACTTCTTACAGCAGTTGCAGCACAAAAGCAATGGAAAATATACCAGATGGATGTGAAATCAACATTTCTCAATGGTTACTTGGAAGAAGAAGTCTATATTGAACAACCACCGAGTTATGTTAAAAAAGGAGAAGATAAAGTCTATCAGTTGAAGAAGGCACTCTATAGATTGAAGCAAGCTCCAAGGGCATGAAACACGAGGATAGATGAATACTTTCATAAGAATGGATTTGTGAAGAGTCCGTATGAACATGATTTGTACACGAAGAAGAATTAAGATGGGGATATGATGGTGGTGTGTCTTTATGTGGATGATATAATCTTCATAGGGAATAATCCAGGTATGTTTGTTGAATTTAAGAAAACTATGACTAAAAAATTTGAAATGACAGATATTGGATAAATGTCTTATTTTCTTGGAGTTGAAGTAAAACAAACGGAAGAAGGAATTTATATGTTACAAAAGAAGTATGCAGAAGAAATACTGAGTAGGTTCAGAATGAAAGATTGCAAGCCTATTTCAACACCAATAGAAGCAGGAATGAAGTTGAAAGCTGACTCAGATAGAGAACCAGTAAACCCAACACTATTCAAAAGCCTGGTCGGAAGCTTGAGGTATTTGACTTTCACTCGACCAGATATAATGTTTGTAGTTAGTCTAATTAGCAGATATATGGAGCATCCAAAGCAGGATCATTTCAGTGCAGCAAAGAGAATTTTAAGATATATCAAAGGAACCATCAGTCATGGATTATTCTATACGCATTCCCAAGATTCAAGGTTAATTGGCTATGCAGATAGTGATTATAGTGGAGATGTAGATGATATACATAGCCGCAGCAGCGTGTACATGTCAAGTGATTTGGTTAAAAAATAATTTGAATGAATTTCATTATGAGCAAGAAGGTCCAATTACTATATACGTAGATAACAAGTATGCTATATCACTTGCAAAGAATCCAATCTCCCACAGCCGAAGCAAGAATATTAACACGAAATATCATTTTATTCGGGAGCAAGTTAAAAACAAAGTTGTGAAATTAGTCTAGTGCATAACTGAAGAACAATTGGCAGATATTTTTACGAAGCCATTGAAGGCTGATGTATTCAACAACTCAAACATATGATTGACATGCAAAGTCAAATTTTAAGGGGAGTGTTAGAAATCAACTTGACTTTGCCATCAACCCACCGCCAACTGAAAAGTTTTTTCCGCCATCTACTAGAAGAGCCTACTATCTACAAGGCCTTCTATCGCCATTCTAGATGAGTTGCCAATATCCAAACAATCTTTGGTTGCCGACAAACAATTTAATAATAAAAAAGGAAAGAGAAGACAAGTCGGTAGATAACACTAGTTGGTAGAAGCAAGCCTTTATATATAGATGTATGTTTAAGAGGTATTAGTTGTATTAGTGAAAAAAACGGAAAGAAAGAAAATAGAAGGAAGGTAGAAAAAGAGTGCTGCAACACTAAGAAAAAAATAGAGTGACTGTGTGTTGTATTTTTTATTTAATCCAAAATTCAATACAAAGAGATTTCTTCATATATTATTCTTTTATTTTCTCTAAATTTCCAACATGTACGACAGACCAATAAAAATGTTCCACCTCAGCTACTAGTGTACTGGAGAGAGAAAAGGAAAAGCCATTTTTTTGTTTTACACTATGTATTACCGGTAGTACATAGTGTAAAATCCAAAAGTCGCACCCAGTTCCATTCGACGGATATACTAAAGATGTGCTCGGATAACTAGACGATGGTATTATATTGCCCGCACTTTTTTATGCGAAAGTTCATTTCACTAGGATCCGGGACTTATAACTCAACTTGAATACCATCATGTTCCCTCTTGAATGGGCTGGCATACACCATTTTTTGTCTCACTTTGATGTATCTGGAGACTTACATGTCACAAATAAGAAAATAAAGATATGACACATAACAAAAACCTCCCATTTACATTGTTATAAGTGAAAAGTGAAAACCGAGAAGACAAATGTACAAGAACAAGCCCCCATACATCCAATTCCTTTTTAGTGGCAGCAAAGGAGAATTTGAATATGACAGAGTGAGAGTAATAGAATGGGATAAGCTTCTGTGCTACTGGGCATATTTGCTGGAAAATGAGACATTAGAGTCCTTATGTGCTTAAAGGGCTATCATTGCGGAAGTTGCCAAGTTCATTTCTTTCATTTTCTATTTTATTTCTGGTTTAAAGCCTTTTATGTCTAGGTGATATGCATTCAGCATATAAGGAAATCTAAGCCAAAAAGAGAAAGAATGTGATTAAATCTTAAGCAAAAAGGGCAATACTCACTGTTGATCTGTCAAAATCTTAATCAGAGATTGCATACTGATTTTATGTTGATTTCGTAGGAAAAACAGACAAACTGGAGCTAAAAAGGAAAAAGCTAAACTGAAGACCCACGCTCACAGCGTGGGTATGACGCTCATAGCGTGAAGGGAGCTCTTTCACACAGAAGCATCCACGCTACTAGCGTGAGACTCACGCTAGTAGCGCCAGAATTCCAAAACGAGCAGAAGCTACCACGCTACTAACGTGGGATTGACACTAGTAGCGCCAGACTCTCAAACAGCCCATGCTTGCAGCATGGCAGCCACACTAGTTGCATGGTGCTCCAGGATATAGAAGAAAAACTCCCACGCTCACAGCGTGGGAACCACGCTAGTAGCGTGGGAGGTGCGGATAAATCAACTTAAATCCTTTTTTAAATCAGAGACAAAGATTGCACTGAGATTGCGAAAAGATTAGATCAAGATTCTACACAAGGTCCAAGACTCTATAAATAGAGACTCAGACCTCAAGAAAAAAACAACAACTTTTGCACGGGAGAAATTGCGAGGAACAGGAATCGGAGCAAGCTTTCGGTGACTGAATATTCAAGATTTATTCTTCCATTCTTTCCGGTTATTTCTAGTTTTATGAATTCTTTTAAATATTTGTTATTGTCAGACATGAATATGTCTGGCTAGTCTTTTTATATTGTGGTAAGGGTCACAACCCTTGATGTGAACCCCTTGTATTTTGGTTAAGTTTATTGTTAATTATTTCAATTGAATTTATTTTACTCTATTCTTCATCCATAATTCTTTTAGAATTCGTGAATCTATTAGGATTGCGAGGGTTAGGGTTTTCCATAAGAATATTGGGATTCTAATTCCTGACAAAGGGTAAGATAACTGTTCATGTATGCACTAGGGATAGGCTATATGAACTGCAAACGTGGAAAATTCACTGGGCTTAAAGATTAACTTGAAAAGGGATTTATAAGGGATTAAGATTCCAATAGGGTTAATAAGGTTAAGATCACTAAGGGATTGAGGCTTAACTAATTAATTATAGATGTTGAATTGTTTGATCAATTGGGTAATTAAATATAAATATTAATCAATATTACAAGGTGGGGATCGGAAAGGTGTTGGCGTCCTTTACTGCAATAATTTTTCTTTATATTTTTCTCAAACGCTCAACCTTTTACTTTAAGCTCTCAAACTTCTTTTTGAATTGTTCACGAAATATTGAATAGTTCACAATTGTCACAACATAATTACTTCACAAATCAACTTTTGTTCATCCAATTAAGAAAGCAATAGTTAAAATTAAATCTGGTGCCTCAATCCTCGTGGGACGATATTCTTACTCACTTTTTATTACTTGGTACGATCGGTGCACTTGTCGATTTTACGCAACAAGTTTTTGGCGCCATTGCCGGGGATTGACTACGCCTAATTTATTTTTAAATTTTGAATTTATTTATTGGATTTTGTTACTAATCTTTTTGCTACAGTTTATGCGAGGTAAAGTTCATCGAGATTCCTTACAGTTTGATCCAGAAATCGAGAAAACTGCAAAGAAAAATCGAAAGCAAGCCAAGCAAAGAAAGCAAGAAGAATCTTCAGGTTCAAAGCCGCACAAAGAATTAGTGATGGCAACTAATAATTAGCCTCCGCCTCCTCCACCACCTCCAGCGGAATTGCTGGAGTCAATTCTGGCTCCTATGTTCACAAGGCCGAACTCCAGTGTTGTCCGGCCAGAGATAGAGGCCAACAATTTTGACATCAACCCGTCTCTGGTTAATCTGGTAGAGAAGAACCCTTTCGGAGGAGAGGATTACAAAGATCCTCACGACTTCATGGACAGATTTCTGAGAATCTGTGACATTACCAAGCATCATGGAGTGTCTGACGATGCCATCAGACTCAGGTTGTTTCCCTTTGCTTTAACCGAAAAATCCCTCAGATGGTTAGACCGACAAGCTCCCAGTAGTATTCGAACATGGGACGATCTAGCCGCTAAATTCTTTGCTGAGCATTTTTCGCGGGAAAAGTACAACAAGTTGGTGAATGAGATCACCAACTTCATTCAGCAGCTGGGAGAGACTCTTTGTGCAGCCTGGACCCGATTTCAGGAGTTGATCAGGAAATGCCCTCAGTATGACTTTCCAGACGGGAAGAAGGTTAGAGTCTTCTATAATGGGATGACACCGGATACCAGGATGGTTGTCAACAGTGCAGCCGGTGGAACCATCGGAAAGAAGACAACAGCTGAAACCCTAGAATTGATTGCTTACCTAGCACGGAACGATAACGCTTCTACGACAGTTCCTCCAGTTCAGTCAGCTCAACCCAAGAAGGGAATTTTACAACTGGGGAACACTGACGCCTCATTAGTTGAGCAAAAGGTGATTTCACAACAGTTGGCTAGTTTGAATGCCAAGCTCGACAAGATGCAGCTCTCAACATCCAAGGTAGATGTATTTGACTGTGAGTATTGTAAGGAGCCGCATGATACTAACGAGTGCCTTACATTCAATAGAGCTAAACCATTCCAGGTCAATGGAATTTGGTAAGATCCAAGGCCTCCACAAAATACTCAAGGTTACCAAAGGAATCAGAATGGCGGCCAAGGGAACAATTTCCAAAGGAGGAATCAAGGGAGCAGCCTGGATTATAAATCCAACAACTATCTGCAACCTCCTCCTCTGCCACAAAAGAGCCATCTGAGTTAGAGAAAATGATGATACAACTGGCCAAAACTACTAATGATCACATAAATGAGACCAGAGCCTACCACAAGAACCAGGATGCTTCCATCCGAAACTTGGAGAGTCAGATAGGCCAGTTGTCTAGAAAGTTGGCTGAAAGGTCTCAAGGACAGTTCCCAAGTTATACAATTGTGAATCCAAAGGAGGACTGCAAGTCCATTGTGACTAGGAGTGGAATTGTGATCACTCCTCAAGAAAAGCCAAAATCGGTTCAGCCAAAGAAAGTTAATGGGCCAACAACTGAGCTGGAGCATGAGAAAGAAGTACAAGCACCTGTCAGTGAGCAAGAAGAAGCAAAGGAGAAAGCTGTTGAAGCTCCAAAGCAACCGATGGATTTTTCTCGCTTTGAGAAACCTCCATATCCTATGAAGCTCAAACAGCAAGCACAGAAGCAATAGTATGCCAGGTTTTTAGATATGTTTAAAAAATTGCATATTAATATTCCATTTGCTGAAGCTCTTGCTAGCATGCCTAACTATGCTAAATTCATGAAAGATTTATTGTCTAGAAAGCATAAGTTGCAGGATTGTGAGACAGTAGCACTTACTGAAGAGTGCAGTGCCATCATTCAGAAGAAGTTCCCACCAAAGCTTCAAGATCCGGGAAGTTTCAACATCCCAATTGCGATAGGCAACACCAATGTTGGCCGGGCATTATGCGACCTTGGAGCAATCATCAACTTGATGCCGCTGTCAATATGCAAGGCATTAGGAATTTTTGAACTGAAGCCAACCATGGTCTCTTTACAACTAGCTGACCGTTCAACAAGAAGACCTACTGGAATAATAGAGGATGTCATTGTCAAGTTCATCTTCCCAGCTGATTTCATTGTGCTGGACATGGAAGAAGAGAGTGAGATACCTCTTATGCTTGGAAGGCCATTCTTGGCCACAGCTCGAGCTATGATTGATGTTGAACAAGGAAAGCTCGAGCTACGAATGAACGATGAGAAAATCACAATCAATGTGTTCAAAGCTATGACAAAGTCATCTGACCCCAGTGACTGCTTCAGACTAGATGTGATTGAGGAAGCAGTCCAAGAAGTGAATTTTGATGATCAAGAGACTGAAGATGAATTTGATGATCCAGATGAAGGTGCTCCACAAGAAGGGTGAGAATCTATCTATGAGGTGTTAGAAAAGAAAGAAGATGATTCAGTTCCATTGGCACCAACGGTAGAACTAAAAGAGTTGCCAGAAACTCTAAAGTATGCCTTCTTGGGAGATGAAAAACAATTCCCAGTCATCATCAGTAAAGATTTGTCTTCAACTGAAGAAAAGAAGCTGTTGGAAGTGCTCAAAGAGCACAAGACGACCATTGGGTGGTCTATTTCTGACTTGAAGGGAATCAACCCTTCCTTCTATACTCACAAGATTCTAATGGAGGACAATGTTAAACCAGTGAGACAGCCTCAGAGGAGACTAAACCCAACAATGAAAGAAATAGTCTGCAAGGAAGTGATGAAGCTCATGGATGCTGGAATGATTTACCCAATTTCTGACACTGCATGGGTGAGCCCAGTACAGACAGTTCCGAAGAAAGGAGGATTGACTGTCGTGAAGAATGATCAGAATGAGTTAATTCCAACCCGCAGCATCACTGGCTGGAGGATACGCGTGGACTACAGAAGATTAAATGATGCCACCAGAAAGGATCATTTTCCTCTGCCGTTTATTGATCAAATGCTAGAAAGGTTAGCCGGTCATGCTTATTACTGTTTCTTGGATGGTTATTCCGGCTACCACCAAATCCCAGTCGCACCAGAGGATCAGGAGAAGACAACTTTCACATGCCCATTTGGAGTCTTTGCCTACAGAAGGATGCCATTCGGCATCTGCAATGCACCCGCAACTTTTCAAAGGTGTCATGCAGGTTTCTACCGGAGATTCATCAAGGATTTCTCAAAGATTGCAAAGCCTCTTAGCCAGCTGTTGATGAAGGATCAAGACTTCCTCTTTGATGAAGCTTGCCTCAATGCATTCAATGTGTTGAAGGAAAAGCTTACCACGGCGCCTGTGTTGACGGCACCAGACTGGAGTCTTCCGTTTGAACTCATGTTTGATGCGAGCGCACACGCTTTGGGTGCAATATTGGGTCAGCGTAAGAATAAAATGTTGCATGTCATTTACAATCTAATTATGCCACTACTGAAAAGAGATGCTAGCAGTAGTTTATGCATTAGATAAATTTAGATCTTACTTGATAGGTTCTAAAGTTATCGTTTTTACTGACCATGCTGCTATTAAGTATTTAATGACCAAGCAGGATGCCAAGCCACGTTTGCTGAGGTGGATGCTTCTGTTTCAATAGTTCGACTTGGAAATCAAGGACAAAGCTGGAGTGGAGAATAAAGTTGCTGATCACTTGTCTAGGATTCAGGACAAGCAGTTACAAGAAGGACCTGAAATTGAGGTCAATGAGTCTTTTCCTGATGAGCAAGTGATGGCCATAATATTGCATCCATGGTTTGAAAACTTTGCAAACTACAAAGCTGCTGGTTCAATTCCTGATGATCTTACTTGGCAGCAGAAAAATAAATTCTTCCATGATACAAGGAGGTACCACTGGGATAATCCATTTTTTTATTTTCAATGTGCTGACGGAATTATTCGCAGATGTGTGGCTAAATTTGAAATGCCGGATATTCTGTGGCATTGCCACGCGTCTGACTATTGAGGTCATTTTGGAGCAAACCGGACTGCGAACAAGGTGCTGCAAAGTGGATATTACTGGCCTACGATCTTCAAAGATGCACGAGACTTCGTGGAAAAGTGTGACAAGTGCCAGAGAACGGGAAACATTTCCCGTAAAGATGAGATGCCCCTCAACTGCATACTAGAAGTGGAGCTCTTCGATGTTTGGGGGATTGACTTCATGGGACCATTCCCTACGTCATACTCAAACCAGTACATCTTGGTTGCAGTGGATTACGTGTCAAAGTGGGTCAAAGCAGTTGCCTTGCCTACTAACGATGCAAAGGTGGTCGTTTCGTTCTTACGGAAGAAGATTTTCACCCGCTTTGGAGTTCCTCGTGCAATCATCAGCGATGGAGGCACACACTTCTGCAACAAGTAGTTTGACAGTTTACTTGCAAAGTATGGTGTCACTCACAAGGTGGCTACACCATATCATCCTCAGACCAGCGGACAAGTTGAAATTTCAAACAGAGAGCTGGAGAGGATCCTGGAAAAGACTGTCAGTAACTCAAGGAAAGATTGGTCCAAGAAGCTGGATGATGCACTCTGGGTATACAGGACCGCCTTCAAAACACCCATAGGTATGTCACCATTCCAACTGGTGTACGGTAAGTCTTGCCATCTTCCTGTAGAGTTAGAATATAGAGCTATGTGGGAAATTAAATTTCTGAATTTTGAACCATCTAAGGCTAATGAAAAGAGATTAATGTAATTGAATGAGCTTGATGAGTTCAGGTTAGCTGCATATGAAAATGCCATGATTTATAAAGAGAAGACAAAGAAATGGCATGACAAGAAGATCCAGCCAAAAGAGTTCGAGCCAGGACAACAGGTATTACTATACAACTCTCGACTGAGGTTGTTTTCAGGTAAGCTCAAATCTCGCTGGACTGGTCCTTTTGTTATCAAGAGAGTTTTTCCATATGGAACAATAGAGATCTCCCCTCTCAATGAGGACAGACCTTTTAAGGTCAATGGGAATAGATTGAAAATCTATCATGGAGAACAGATGAATCGGGATAAAATTTCTGTCCCTCTAGCTTCACCTGAAGCTTAGATTGTTCCAGTCTGGCTCGTGACGTTAAACAAACGCTTGCTGGGAGGCAACCCAGTAGAAAATTTTTCAATTACTTAGTTTTAATTTCTTGTTTTTAATTTTTAAAATTGAAGAAAAACAGAAAAATCAAAAACAAACAGTGCACT